GTAGGAAGTTTAACAAGCAGTGTTATAACCATCAAATAGATTTAATCAATAATAAAACGTTTTCTATGTAGATTCACTATCTAGATAAAACCATAAATGTGCCAACATGTATATTGTATGTACATATAATTATATACTATAGTCGTAATGTAGGTCATTCATGACTAATGATTATTAACTAGCTGAACCGGCAGACTTCATACCACCACCATACATTCTTATTCTCCTTTTAAACCTTCTCTGGACTTCCGCGAAAATTTCAAGACCAAAATTAGCCAAATCGGTTCATCTGTCCTCGAGTTTTAGCAAAACTAACGAATGGAAATTAATTTTTATTTATATAGATTTATTAAGTTATATAACACACACACACACAGCAATGAAAATAGTTCATCTTTGAAAGTATTTACTTACTTTTAAGTTCCCTACTGCATTTGACCTCCAAGGTTCCATTGAAGGCCATCTTGTAGTCTCCCCGTTGGTCCTTGGCGAAGACTCTCTGGAATGTCTGCTTGAACAGCGAGGAATTGAACGAGTCTCCCATCACCATGTGCCCACTGTAATAAAAAGTACGGAAAATTAAGGACTTGGCTTATTATTAAAGTAGTGAAGGGTTTGTAGATGTATTTTTAAAAATTTATTGGTTGAAAATGCTATAAAATTATTTATTGAGGATAGACTTTTTTGTTATTATTTATGTATTTATATTACTTATTTACTTAATACAAAGTGATCAAGTTCAGTAACGTGCTATTAGGGATGTCTTCGTCCGACAATTATCGGGAGCAGATTTCACAGAAATTATTGTTAGTTTATAGCATTTTTTATTCAAAATGGTGTTGCCGAGTCGGCAAGCACATAGTACTGGCATGGTACACTATTGTAGAAACTGTAAATAAGACTTTTGCTATTAATTGAAGCATCAGTTCACGTTTGAAAACATGGCCTATCAGCTGTTTAGCATAATACTTATCAAGCTCATAGTTACGTGAATAATACGATATTACTAATTCCAATAGTAAAAACAGTGACGATAACGAGGTAGGCTGTACAATATTATGCAACTTTTAATTAAAAGAACTTGAAGAAACAATATTTATAGTGAAAAATATTGAGACAAAAGTATTTAGAGAGCAGTCAAATCCTATGCTTATTGGGTTATCTAAAACCAGATGATAAATATTTTATACTAGCTTTTTTACCCGCGGCTTCGCTCGCGCCACAAAAGGTTAAAAAGTAACCTATGTAACATATACAAATACACACTGCGCCATCTATACCAATACTTTTGTTTTCCCTCGGGAATATCAAATTTTTCCGGGATAAAAAGTACCCTATTATTTAATCCAGACTTCTAACTTTACGTCTGCAGAAATTCAAAGGTTTAGTAGTTACGGCGTGAAAGTAGAACAAACAAACTCACTTTCCAATTTATAATATTAGTAAGGATTCTGTATGGTAAAAGTACTCACCCAGTAGAATTGCAACACTGTTTCATCTCCATAAGTCCAGTCTGATCCAACGCACAAGAGTAAATATCAATCGAGTGGCCGTTTGTCGCCGCCCTTAGAGACAGAGCTTCATAATGTTTGATAGCCTTCTTCATGTACTTAGCGTTGTCCTTATGAATGTCGTGATGGGAACGAATGGGCTGCTTCAGCTCATCATTGACCACCTGACCTGGCCCTTGAGAGCATGGTCCTCCGAGGAACAGCATAATTCTACCACCAGTGTTAGGGTAAGTGACTTCAAGAAGACCAACTGCCAAAGAGAGAGCAACTCCGCTGCTACGTAGCGGTCTCTTTCCTACACCTAAAGGCCATGGGTCCCTTCCAAGTTCTCCAAGCAGATCAGTTAATGCCATATCACATGTTTTGACAGGTTGCAGGAAGCGGTGTGCTGGTGGTTGCGGTGCGGGGGCGCCAGGTCGTTGCTGTGGGTTCGGAGCGTTCACACGACCGATCGCCAACTGCTCTTGTATTTGTTTCGCTGTCAGGTCTTTGGTGCCTTTGAAGACGTAACATTTTGATATGCCTTCTGTGCCTGAAATAAATAATTGAACATAACAATATTTTTGATTCAAAAACCATCTGTTATCTTATCCCAAATAAAAACAAATTAAAGTATGTAGATAACGTTCTTTAGTAGAAATGAATGTTACAACTGTAAAGATAACATACAGAAAATGCATTTTTACAGTACATAATAATATGCGTCTACAATAAAGTTCATTTTTCCTTAGTAAAAGTTGTTCAGAAGAAATTAAACATCAAAACATTAAATAAGTTAATTAATAAAAAGACCTAAGCACTTGATTTAGTGGCCACATTTTCCACCATTACGCCAATGAGAAACATAGCTCAAAATAAATAAAACATATTACTACAAAGTAACACAAATCATCTGAATAAACAGACATCTTGTGCATGCCATGTATATAATATTAACTTACCTAGCTCATGAATCTGCACCATACGACCAAACGTGATCAAACCAACAAGAGCATTCTGTGGCATCAAACTGAGGGAGGTCTGGAGAGAGTCCTTCAGCGCTCCGAGTTCCTCCTCATCCAAACAAGTGTCAACCACCAGCAGATAGATAGGAGGCATCGTCTGGGCCCGAGTTATAGTGTACTCTATGGTGGAGAAGTTGGGAATCAACTCCGCAGGCTGGTGTTGCTCCGATATCGCCGAATATTGCGGGGGGAACTGAAATATTAAGTTATTTATTAATTATTTTTGTATCTGGCAGCTTACATAGGATGGTAAGAGGGCATTGTAGCCTAAATACACTTGCAACAATGAAATAGAATTTATAAGACGATTGTAGCGATGTCTAGATGCATACTGTAATGTTAACACATTCAGTCCTTAATATAATTAGTCAACTGGCAGGATGTTTTTATTGCATATTGTATAGCAGTAGCCTGAGAAATTATGTAAGACTGTAAGACACAACTCTAAAAACAATTGCTCTCTCTGTCTTTTACATGTTACTCTTGCCCATTGTCTACTTTATTTACACAATCAAAATATATTGGTTATACAACCATGATGTCTTGTGGCCGGTCTCAGTAACTCATCTGTCTGAAGATTAGCTTACTAAAGTTAGAATTTTGACATAAGTTCCATACAAAATGTATTGAAATTCAATCTCTAGTGAACAAATCTCGAGATTAAACTGGAGAATAATGAAATTGGGATCTAAAATGTGACAGAGATCATAATTAAGACTTATTCAACAGCCTACATCATATATCCCTCAATTCCAATAATCCCTAAATTCCTAAGGACGGTAATGCACTTGTAACGCCTCTGGTGTTCCATGTGTCCATTGGTGACACTGATTGCTTACCATCAGGTGTACCGTCTCCATGTTTATCGGCTAATTCCATATAAAAATATATATAGTAAATTAGTATGGAAAGGTAGAAAATGAAGAGTGAATCATCTCTGAATACTTTACTACTTTCTTACAAATAAATAAATGAAGCAACCTTCAACTTAAATTGTAGTATTACTTAACTACTATTATATTATTCATGCCCAGTCATGGTAAAGGTAAATCCAAGGAAATTTAATTTCGACATTCTAATTTATTGGCCTTTCAACAGACTGTATTGGATGTATCCATATTTGAAAATATACTGTTTAGAATTTATTCTAATATCATTCTTATTAGAATGCTCTAAGACTTTATATATTTTTGTTTTGTAAGCAATTATGCAATTGCAACACTGAATATCATCATATCATCAACATTAAGGAAATAATACTGAATTACTGATGTTTCCTCTCCATAAAATAAACATAAAAATAAGTAAACATTCCAGTCCAGTAACAGATTTTTCTGCTTTCTGCTAAATTGTACTCAAATCTTTTTATAGCATTATGGTACTAATTTCCTTTTATTGCATTTTATATTACATACATATGGCAGGTAGTATTGCCAACTAAGTATTAAATACACAGGAAGGTTTAATATATATAAGAATTATATTTTATTATATTACTTACAGGGTTTCTCTGGAAACAGAAGTTGCAGGACCATAATTTAGCTCTGTAGTCCACTTGGCACATAGGATTCAAGATCGCCCTACATGTATTTCGGGTACACAATACAGGTTCATACTGAATTGGTGGCAGATCGGGCCTTTCCTTCAGCGGCTGGTACAAACATGCCAGTGGTACCACCAGCCTAGTAGCCTCGATTCTACTCGAAGGCCAAACATTCCACGTGAAACGTATTCCATCTCTATCTTCATTCTGCTGAATAAACTCTTCATACGTGGCCATATCGCCGATCTAAACGCGAAACATTGATAATTAACAGACTTATAAAATAGCGGATTACAACCACAAATATATCTGTCATTTCTATATTGTACGTACCAAGTCTGCTTGCAGCAACTCGAGTCCAGCCACATATGCAATAAACCAACGTTTTATTTAGTATTCATTCAGAAATTGGTTGTTATTTGAATTTTATAACAATTTTCAGCAGACGGGAGAGGCTGGCTGATTTGGCAATTGTCAAAATCATAGAGAAATCAGCTGTCACAATGGCCACGTCATTTTGGAAAACGCAACACATAAATAGATGAATTCAATTTTTTTATTTTAGTACTTATAGGTTTCTACCATTATATTTATTACATTTTGCAGGATATATATAAAAAAATATTTTTTGTCCCACAACAGACAGCATTTATAAGTTATGGTTTTGTCTACGGTTTTGTCAGAGACAAAAGAGTATTTACCATAGACATGTTTAGCGTCTTTGTCTATGACCTAAAGTGACGCGTTCCTTTACGCACATACACGAACAAAAAAAATGTAAAAAATAAATTAAAAATCGTGTTAAATCGGAATTAAATAATTAGAAACATAAATAAACTTATGAACAGTGTCTAGAGTGATAATATAACAAAAAGTGTAAAATATTTTAGGAAATTATGAAATTTGTCTGTGGAATAAACAGTTTACTGACGTGCATTCTGTGTAGTAATGAAACGTTCTTGAATGAAATATTTTTTTATTTTTAGGACATAGTAAATTATATTTCAATTATGGACATTATTTGTAAAATAATTCGTATTTAATGGTATAAGAACAAACCTACTATTATAATTAGTGGATACAAAATTAATGATATGTCATTGCTTTGTTTGAAGAGCAGGAAGTTTACGCCAAAAAGTGCGACTGCGCACTGGCCAAATTAGTAGTGTGAAAGAAAATGGCGATCAGCGAAAGGCGTCCGGAGTTAACGTGATGAAAAACATTGTTAAAAGCTCAATTACATAGTGTTATAGTTATTAATTGTGTCAGATGTAGATTAATTAAGTGTTAATGAATAGTGATTGTGTATAAAAATGGCTGCGAATATGTACAGAGTCGGCGGTAAGTGGCAATAATTGGTTATTTTTGTTGTAGCTTCGCCGGTTCACCGCCAGCCGACTAGCGGTGCTTTGCTTTGATTGTCGTACCTTCATTAATTGCTCACGTTAATTAGTTCAGTTTGTTGTATTTCTTTCCTCTTTTGAATTCAAATTAATGGAAACGTTAGCATGTAAAACATCGCGGCAAAGGCTTGTTTGCGGGAAAGTTATATTTATTTTACCAAAATTCGTCAAATAGGACATTAGCATTTGCATCTAGGTATCATTGTATCGGCTTGCGTATCTGCGTCCGAATGGTTAGACACGAAGCACCTTCTTTTATCTTATGGAATTTATGATTTTTAGCGGTTGTTTGATGTAGTTTTGATGGTTCAACGCGAGATTTTAGGTTATATTCGATGTTGTCAAAACATTTTGGTGGAAATATTGTGTGTATGCGGGGGTCGGTGATGCTTAGATCTTGAATTGGTATACCGGGAATAGGAGATAAGTGGATTTGTAGGTTATCAGAGTTCGGTTTGTCATGTTTAGTGTATTAGTGCCGGCGCTTCGGTGTCGCTGGTGTAGCCGCGGAGCCGGGCGCGGGCGCCTCGTGCCGCGCTCCGCGGACCTCGCGTCGAATGTTAATTAGCTCTTCCTTTTATGTTAACTTCCTATCATATAGTGGTACTCATTCAAAATGTTATTTTAAATCCTTTGTTTTTGGCTAGTAACATTTTTTATTGTTATTCTATTTTGAATATACTTATAGGAATATTCATGTGTTAATCATTCAATCAACGCTTCTATTAAAAATTAACATTTCACTTGAAACTTATGTGTACCCACCACTTTTTGATAACATTGAAAAAGTACTGTGTGAATTGAACTTATGTTTAAGTTGGGTACTTTCTTTTCACATGCATCTGAATTTATCATTTTTATGTTGACCTCAAAATGCCTGCATACATAATACACTTATATCTGACAAAGAATTACTTGACCTACATTCACTACCTTGGATTTTTTCTTTGGCACTGAACTTTATTAATATCATAGGGCCTTAACGAAATCAACATTGTGAAGAAGCTAAAGAGACAATAATTGTTCTAGAAAAGTGTGATAATGCTTTATCGATAGACATAAACAATATCAATACAAACAATTCTCTTTTGTATCAAGGTTACTTAAAACAATCTATTTATAGTCTCATATTGATCCGCTGACTTGCTGTTGTTATACTCTAATAAGTAAACAATAAAATGACTGATACCCTAAACTTTCCTTTCAAAATATATTTAGTAAAGATTACATCAAAAACCTATGTCCTATAGAATAATGTAAAAAGTATTTATGTTACTTTAACATTTTTCTATAACTCTTACCTTTGCAATCAAACCGATAACATTAGTGGCAAAAAGTTAACGAAACAATAGATCCACCCATTAGGAAATAAAAGTTACAATGTTATATTTATGTTCTGCTAATACATAACTAGAATATTATAGATTTACTCTCATTTGTGTAGATGTAACAAGTAAAGAGCATTCAACAAGTTTTCATAGTTATAAACCGTCGAATAACATTATAGAAATACCTAATATAGTTATCAACAAAAAAATGTAACTACCTACCTACTAATTTTCATACAAAAGCAACAACACATGTCTTCCCAACAAAATATTCTTATTACACAAACAATTTTAATATCATAGCTATGACAGAAAATGTAAAACTCCTCATTTTGTTTAATGTAACCTTCAGTCATGTGAAAGTATGAGTTCATTGACCTATTACTTAAGCATAGGCTGTACCTTGCTTGACTTTTAATATCTAGTGCTAGCTTGTACTTAAAATATTTAAGTACTAAAACCAAATTAAATGTATACTTTTTCATATTGACTCATTATAGATGCACTTTGGCTTTGAAAATTGACTGTTCTTACTACTATTTTCCTCTTTATATCTCGCGCGAATAATAATAGCTAGTCACAATCACATGACGTAACTTCACACGTACCAATGTTCTGTCAACTACCCATTTAGTAGCAAAATTTACTAATTAGTTTCTCATTAAATGTATTAGTGCTGAATTTAAATGCTTTAACATTAAACTTAACATTTGAAGTAACTATTTACTTACATCGTTTGGTAAGATATCGATTTTAACTCGATCGACTCTTAACATTAAAAAACCGTCAGAATTTTCGTTTATGTACCAGAAAATCTTCAAGAAATATAGATTTAATACAATCGAAATCGTATTCTCGCGGCCTCTAATATTTGACGTCATGAAATTGAATCATTTCGTAGGTATAAGTAGTGTACTGTAATCGGATTAATAACAATCGATCTTAACATTCGATTCTCTAAGTAGGTGTAATTAACAAACCCTTCGTACTAACTGTGTTAGATATAACCCACAACTGTCGCCCGGTCCCTGCAGCCCTCTACAATAAAACCCCTATCAATAAAAACTGATATTGAGTGAACGACAGGGTCACAGCCACTCGATACTTATTTCGTAAACTCCAGTTTAATCGACGGTTTGTTCAGCCTACGTTACGCAACCATCTTTACGGTTATTGTGGCTGGCAGCGTCCAGATTTTCTAATTGTGTTTGCTTCCTATAAAATGTTACCGGTTTTGCATAGAAACAGTTACTGTTGAAGGGAATACTGTCACTATAAATTCGCCTTTAGCTTATCACGTTGCCTTATCTGAGGAACACAAAGTGCGACATTTTATTATCTAATGTGAATTCCAACAAAATCGGTCCTCTGATTTAACTCATTGCTAACAGATCGATGGCCTGTGGCGCTTCTAACCTTCCGCGATTCTTATATTGTCTGCTTAACATTTTAGGAACTAATTAGTTGTGCTTTTTTGTATGTAACTTCCAGTTTGTAAAATGGTTTATTCTTTAAGTTTAGCGTATGTGTATTTAACATTACATTTTACGGTAAATATATTGCGTAACAGGAACCAATAGTCATCAACAACGATCTTAATTGTGAACATTGTGGCCCTTCCAGAAGGAACGTCCTAACAACAATATGGTCATAACGATTCAATGATTATGTCGAGCGAAATCATAAACGTGCATTTCCTCTCAATTGCGTACACTATTAGCTGGTATAATTGTATTAAATTCATTGCCAATTGCTAGTCTATGGCCTTCTTACGTTACCTGATGCTTCACTTTGAAATATAATCAAGTAGAGAGTCTCAGAAATGTCTTTGTAATTTCTTAACATCAACAATATTAATATTTCTAAGCTATGGAATGGAAATCACATCGCTATATTGGGTTTCCTGTAGTTATTATCGATTTGGTCGGTGGAATATATTGTTATTATTTCGCAAAGTCTAATTAATTTTTACCGTTAACTATTGTTTATGTTAACAAGAGATAACTGTGATAGGAAATACAGTGACATCACAAACCGTAATTCGAATCTCTTCACCTACTTGTCATCGCTCCTAGAAGGCAAACCCATGACTTTTATCCCTAGTTATTTATTTGAAACACGCCAGAATCAGTGTGTATGAACTCGTAAACTTGAAACGGAAGTTTGGTTAGTAAAATAGTCATGACTTATGCTGTGGTTTTTACAATGATTTAGTTATCCATATGGTTACCCAATGTGGAGTCAAATGCCTCGCTTATAGCTTCTTTGTTATCTCACAAATTAACCACTATGGCACAAAACTTATTAAATGATGCTAACTTGTAATAAAATACGAAGTTGAATGGTTATGTAAATAAGGATTTTTGTTGAATTACGTACTAAAGTTTGTTGTCCGATTACATAGTTGGTTAGTTGTCGAATAAATTCATGCAGTTCGATTTAACCACGTGTTGGGGTCTGTGAAAACGTTCATTGAGTGAACCGACGCTTTGTTGCGTACACAAACGACCACGGAATCACCGACAGACAAACACACAACGCGGTTCGCCATTGCCAAACGAGCGTAGTAAAGTATGCAGATCTACATGACAAGATAGCGTACATGCAATGCATTGCCAAATTAATTTTACTTATTGGACACATAGTTCGATTCGTTGGAACACTTAGAACATGCTTTCTAAACTTTCACAATACGTTTATGTAAGCAAGGTTTAAACTGAACTCAATGATCCAGTCTAAAACTAAGTGGTGCTCAATCCACCTTGTATACTGCAGTTTTCACAGGATTGTATAGAAACAACCAATTGTCTGAATTAATGTTCAAAAATTAGTCTCCTTCCATGAATGAAGAATAAACTTAGAAGAAAATTAGCTGTTAAATAATACAAACTCATAATAATAACACGCTATTCTCATACCAATTGTGAAGAAATTCGAAATCGGATGAATCTGTGACCTTTTATCGGGAGCAAAAATCTGCGTCAATGTTTCTTACGCTCTACAACTCTACACAAATGATGTCACACATTTTCATCTATATCGTATACCTACTTTGCAAACACCATTGTTTACTTTTATGGTAACTTTTAAATATTTCTGTGGCTCCTTGAAAATATCTCTCGTTAGCGAGGTTTTAAGGGGCATAAATATCCTCGATAAAAAACCGGAACAATACAACTAATAGCATTCAGATTTATAAACTTCATAGTAATAAGGTAATAAGCATAATAGCATTAGTTATTGAATGCCATAACAATTCATTCGATTATAATTTTTAGTGTACCGAAACTCAATGCCACATACCGACCGCCATTTTGGAAAAAAAAACTCGATTTGTCTGCCAGCTATGCAACGTGTGTCATTCAACAGAGATTTCAAACAATAAATGTTTGGGGATGAAATATAATAACTTTTTATTTATGAATACATAAATATGGTCCAATATACTGATTGTAAAAGCCATTGCATCATGTCCATTCCGAAACAACTGTTAGTATGAAAACAACTGTTAGATGTGTACCTTTGGATACGATGCACCTCGTGAGTATTGATCCCGCGATATCTTGAAAGAGTTAGTCTCTCACCAAGTAGGTAGGCGGTAAATATACTCCTTCTATGCTATATTGAAACCCTTTCTTTTCTGCTTCGTTGCTGTCTGGACTCTGAATTAGGAAGTTCGGGCAATGAAACTAAGGGTATTGTCATAAAAATAACAGTAAGACTGGATATCCCACGTATTTTGTATCATCAGTCATGAAAAGTCGACTAATACTAAACACAAAGGCGGGATTTTGTTTATATTCTCCTGAAAAGTAAGATGTTTAAAGACATAGTCGATAGTATTAATAAGAGAAATGTTATATTTATGATAATAATATTATCATTAGCAACCCATTTTCGTCTACTGCCTCAGTATCGGCCAAAATTAATGGCCTATCTTAAATCAAAATCCCAGGATCAATTTCGATTTTTGACAGATGTTCCATGCAGCTCAATGTCATTGTGACCAGTTATCACCGATTTGGCCAAACAAGCCTCACCTACAACACGCTGCTGAACTCCAATCTCTTGGACACTACACATTCAACCAATTCTAATTACTGTTATATTGTAAATGTTGATCATATCCATTTTGGTGAGAAACGTCTATTTGTTAAAGCCTAGCTTTTCAACTCTAGAAAAAAATTACAATGCTCACGCATAGACAATCACGTAATATCTTCTGATAACGATGATATATTTAATGAATGTACTGTATGTAACATTTACTATGGACAACAATCAATAAAAATTACGTTGATATTATCATCATTGAATTTGATATTCGTATTGTTTACACACCTGCTAGTTTTAAAATATCTGTATTATCCGTTTATTGAATGAAATAATTTTTATTGTACCTAGTTCCATTTCTCGAACTGAATCAGAATCCTTATAGCGTCTCACATAATGACAGTGTAATGCCTACAGCATTCCTATAACCTTAGGACGTTCGCACTCGGGTCACCGAAATGGGACTTAAAATAATTAAGAGATTAAAGTGGCCTAATAGAGTCCCAAAACCAAAGGACATAGCACAAAAAGCAATGTTTATGTCAATGAATATGAAAAGGTTATTGTTTATTTTTAAAACGACACAAACGATAAGACAAACAATATGAATAAAGTGACCTCTAATCGAAGGTAGCGACTGTGTGAAAATCATCGAAAATTCACTTTTGAAATAATTTCTTGATCAGTTATTTGTAAAGTATGAAAACTATGCTATCAAGTCAGTGTACATAACTCGTAATAGCAATTAGCTACGATGAGCGACGTATAGGCTGAATCACTCATTATACATATTTATACATTTTTATAATACTGGAGAATTGTACATGTGATTCGCGACAGGTGACCCTGAGGCCAGTTATGGTAATTAACAACAAAAGAAACAAGTAAAACGTCGCCTCGTGAAATCGTACAGTGAGAATTCAATCATTCTCTGCCCTCTTGTGATGACGTGTCCAGGCTAAATTTACTATACACTTACTTATTGACACGTTCCAAAAATACACTTCTTGGCAAAACTGAACGGGCGTTAACATCGCTATCAGCCGCATAATGCCCCAACTTACGCATATACATAACTATAGCTAATATGAAGGCACACCCGTAATACTCGTATGTATTGGCCGGCTATATATAATATCTGTGTAGATAACCACTCTTCTATGTATATATATATTTACTACACACCTATTGGAGTATAAGCTCTGGTGTGATTCCTTATACACGCCAGTTCGAATCTATAGTCGTACGTTTTACGAGGCGTTCTTTGCGTAGGGATCAATTTTGTATAAATCACGTTTTACTGTATATTGAATGCATTAAAATCGATTGTCTTAAAATGAATTTCCTGGTGTATATCTTATTGAGATGCACAGCTGTATAAAATTACGTTGGACTCTTTCAATGACCGCTGTAGCGTAAACCCAACTAGACCATATTGTCAAAGTACTGTCAATACATTTAAGTGCCACAATGCTCTAACAGGAAGTACCGCATCACAATAGTGATGGTACCTTATACATGAAAAAATAAAGCGCTCTTTCGTATCTATTACACGTGAATTCACGTCTCATCGTAAGTTAATTTTAGTTCACCTCGCGATCGTACCAGAATGGAAAGTTTCATAGGAAATATGAGATCGACTAGAATTCTATTTTCTGGTGATTATTAACAACAAATTGTTACACTTTACTTCCAACTTAACGAAATGATGTTCCGAAGAAAAGCCAAACAAAAATGATTAGTTAATTTAGCCTAGGTGATAGTTGTCTTTATCAGAACTTTTCCAATTGTTATTGTATATAGCTTTTATTTACATAACTCACATCATTTTTAATGATGAGAATGATTCAATTTTCAAATTACATCTATAGGGCTTATTTCTCTTGCAGCAAATTTCAATTAATCTAATATTCCAAGAAAAATCTCAAATCGATACAACATTCACACAGTTCTGATGATTTAACATGTGACGATAGGTCCACGTCATACTGATATTCCACCTTAATACAGCAATAGTTAGTATTGTCAGGAGGTTAATCGTCCAAAACCAACGCGCATACAGCTCAGAATGAAAGGTTTCAAGCGTGTCATTATGTGCGCGTGTTATTTAGTTGTGTTGTACGAAGTAACGGTAAAAAGGCGCCATTTACATTAGTTGTCCATGTGGCACAACTAACATAAGTATTGCAGTACGGATAAACAGAAACTATTCGTTCCGCACCAGCTACTCTGCACCTAGAGTTACAACTTGTGCTCTACAAAAAAAAAATGTTATAAAAATATACCAAAGTATCATAAATGCAGTAATGTTCCAATGAGTGCTGATAGTTTTGAGAAGAAATCGATATTAACTGGCATGTAGTAAAACGTAGAACCGATCGATGATACAGACAATACACCGCATGATACACCAAGTTAGAATTGTATCTCTTGCTCCTGCACTACATTAAAAGAAAACTAAATCTGTCGACAGTCTTGTAAATAAACTATACGAATAGGAATTACATTGTTTACAATAAACTCTTGCAGGTAATGGGTTAAGTCCAATCTAACCAATTTCTATTATGTTTGTCTGCAGACTGCGTCTATTTCGAGACGTCGTCGACGTCTCCGTACCAGATCCGACGGATAGAAGAGCTGAACAAGACTCCGTCTGGGAACGTGGAAGCAAAAGTCATGTGCTTCTACAGGCGGCGAGACCTTCCAAATCCTCTTATACAGTTAGCTGATAAGCATCAAAGTAAGTATCCTGCTAAGTCATACAGACAGTGCCAGTGCACTCCGATGGTTGCGTAAAATAATCACGTCACATACTACAGAATCCAAAATTACAAAATATAAAAGAAATTATGCCATCGTAGTTCATTATTCTGAGAAGCGTCTCATATGCCTCACTGTGATAACATTGAGATGGTATCGCGTAGCTCTCTAATTCTAACATGATATCGGTCTAGGATTCTAGATAATCTATAAGCAAATAACTACGTATCTATCCGATTGCCCATAATTTCCCTATATGTATAACATTGTACACAAGGTTACTCCTTATAACTACTTTATCCTTGAAGTCCAACTTTATAATAAGACATTGTTTTGATATTGATTTTCGGAACAGACCAGTCACGCACATCGACAGACGAATACAGCAGTATTAGGTTGTAGTTGTAGGTACTTCGGTACTTGTACGTAATAATATTCTGCAGTGGCGTCTGCGTCACGTGGACCCATGCGGATTAACGCGTGTTTGATTCTTTTCTATTAATAGATTTATAAAGTATCCTATATTATCGGAGTTGTGTAAAGGATTACTCAGCGGGTGCCGGCACTCGCAGTTCAAAATCTCAACAATTTCATTGCGTGCTGCCGTATCTAACATACACGCAAGATGTCGAATTGCTAAAAAATTGATATCGGCATGTCAAATTGCTGTTAACGTAATTGCAGTAAACGGTTTTAATTTCCGATGATTCGAGATAAAAAGTTTTTTTAGTACTTGCTAATAAATTATCATCTTTTGAATAATTGCGGGATTTAACTCATCCATAACTCAAACACTGTCGTACCCCCATCCCATACCCACAGCGTCGTTAAAAGCAACCATGAACAATAATATCGGTAGTGTTCTTAAACGTTAACCAATAATTAAAATCATTAAATAAACTTGTTTTCAATTCTTACAAAGGGGTCTTGAAAAAAGTCGGTGTCGAGTTTTAGTAAAAACCAGTCTACAATTTAACCGTTCACAGCCGTTACCGAAATGTTGATAGAGATAATGATCGAGCTCGTAAACTCACTCAAATCGATCCACCGTCTCACCATACCAATATCATGAACAACAAGGGCTCACGCGATCGGCCGGTTGCCTCGATACGCGAAGTAACTCGCGTTCGAAGTCCTTGGACAACATCTTTAATTTATGAACATAAATATTGATTAATTAACAATAAATTGAAGCTCTAAAAATCATAGGTGTATTCTTCGTCTTATTCGTCACGCTTTGACCTCATTTGAAGGCAAAATGCGCAGTAGTCGAATATGGACAATATGATGTGTCCTTCAACGAGACTCCCCTTCGACCTCTCCCCACATATACTGTAAGCGAGTTTACCGTATTGTGATCATAGAATCCATTGAAAAGATTCCATTCCCTAATCTTTTAAATGGTTCACTCTACGAGATCAGTTTGAAAGTATTGATTTTATTTGAATCCCAATTACATCATGATTTGGTGGGCTTGTTTTCATGATATAACAATTTTGACATATTATCTCGAATTGTAATACAAAGTATGACAGGACATTATCTGCGTAATATATTCCTGTTACCCGGTGTGTATCGAAGTTTCCGATACTCTCTGGTTATTTCTGGCGACGTATCGATTCTAATTAGCACACTTTAAACATTCATCTGATCGACTTCGTCTCGGCTTTTGTTAGACGTCCCTGCACCCAGGGCCGTCTTAGACTACGCCGGGGGCCTTTTTTTGAGGGGGGAAAATCATCCAATAACTTCTCCCGGATCAGGGCGAGAGGAAGTGTCAGACTCTTACTAACTAAAAACCACCCCGTTTCCACTCCTGCACTTCGAGCCGGATCCCCGGTAACCCGTTAGGTTCTCCACGGCTCCGTATCGGCAACAGCCCTATTGGGCCCCATCTGTGGTGGTCTGATGTAAGCTAAGCGTAAGCTCGGGCCTGGTTATGGTCAGGCGACAACTTACCCGAGCTCGCCATCCGCAGGCCCGTGCTTACGGTGGCCGGGGCCTTGAGCACACAATAAATCGGGACCCTATTGATATACCTTATGAAAGGATTTTCTCTTGTATCGTGGGTGCATTTACAAACATACACGTTTACATACACATCACACCACCCAGACCCAAAACAATCATTTTTATATCACACAAAGATTAGCTCCGTGTGTGAATCGAACCTGCTACACGGTGCAGGGCAGCTGGTTGCCGCACAACGTGTAGCGGGTGTGTGTCCGTCGTAGAAATTGTCGGTCCTTCGGGGCGCCCTGAGGAATGGGGTCCTGGGCACGGGTCTCGAGTGCCCTTATAGTAAAGACGGCACTGCCTGCACCCCTTAGCAATGCATGACTACAAGTTTGTAGGCGCTATCCCCACTATATAGATTTATGGTTTCTAATATCAATCTTATTCTGTAGATACTGTATTCCCAAGTAATTTAATGTAACTCACCAAAACTGCCATCCATGCTCATTTTAAAGAACTTTTGGTATGACAACTTTGTCTAAGGACTTCCGATCAAGTAATATACTTACTTATACCGTTTCTTCGTTAATAATAATCTGGAATATTATAAAGGCAATATGATTTTGAAATTCTCTAAAGAATTACTTAGGTTTAAATCTGTCTGGTTAAATTAGAACTAAACTAACATAAACGGGGAAGCTCCTCCTCTCAGTGTAAGTACTGGTTAACCAATGTAGAACAACACGTGGAAGAACGCGTTGTGTCATTGTAGGGCGTGCTCTATATTTCTCCCTACCTGTACGGACAAAGGCGTTAGTTTTTATACGTGCCCATTATATTAGAATAAAAGAAAACTTGGTCAAACTGACCATGCAAATTGATCCTGTTGTGTTAACTCGCGAATGTAGAATCAGGGGTGACTCGAAAAGTGATGTAATAGTGACCGTAGCTTTTGGAAGCTTAGCTCTAAAGACGCGTTCTCGGTTTCGTAGTAATGACCCTACAGCACGTATGGTATGTATTCACCGCGACACTCCAAAATATTTGGATACCCTGAATGTTGTTAAGTATTCGGACCTAAATGTAGCTAACGATCCCACATTCTAATACAGTAACGCTTCGGTACTAATGATTCCTTTGACTTCATTAACGTTATTCGGGATTTAGATAATATGCCCTTTCTTATCTCTTTTCTATTTATATTTATGCGACTGTTTCATATGTATTGTTTTAACTGCCGGTCTTATAATATTTATGAAAAAATATTATTATCGATTGACACGACTCCATACGAAACATCTGCTGCCAATTCATTAAACTCATCCTTGATTAGTTAAAGTTATTTCTATTGGAAAAGTAAAGAATCATTAACTTGAAGATTATAAGATGTCCTGAACCATGACTAAACAGACTTTGTCGACATAAATCGATCAAATCAAATCAAATTAACATTTAAGTAAATGTCTTGTAAATCCATCATACATCATTGTAAATTATTCTATTGGTGTTTCCAATTCACTATTCTTCATTATTACGTTGAATGAATGAATAATTGTTTAGCCGGTTAGTTACAATTACAAACATACTTCTTACAATTCTAAAGAGGTTAGCTTTGCACTCGAGTTTTTAGACGACTTTCGGTGTGTTCGGTGCACAAGAATCACTACGTGATGGTTATACTGAGTCAATAGTATGAAAGGACTATGAATACAAGGATGTTTTCTGGTCGTACTTAATGTTAGCATCATGAACACCGTGTGACAGGTCACTGCTGGACTGTGAGACTCCTCTACATAAGACGGTTAGCAATCCGTGCTTGGCAGGCGGGTGGGGAATCGCGGTTCGGAACTACAAAGGTTCAAGTTTAAGAGCTGCTAGGTCTATGTCAAATATCTAGTCCCTTCATTTTTATAAAAACTATCGTGAGACGTACTAAATTAACTAAAAACGCGGGTTACTCAAGTGAATATAATGAGAAAAGCCCTACTAGTTTCGAACCACAGAGGGGTTCTTCTTCGTGAGCAGCGTGCGCGGTCACGGCGATGTCGCGCAGCCTATTCAGTAGGCTACAGTAGGTAGGTAGATAGGTAGCTTTTCTCATTATATTTACATGAGTAACCCGCGATTTTTAGTTAATCTAGTCCCTTCGTCTGATATTAGGACGCCCATAGGAAGAGTATGGGTGGTGACAATGTATTCTAATCTGGTATATTATTGCATGAATGCATGTAACCTTCTTTATTGACGAATCCTATGAAGATGATTTTTTGAAAAACTACAAAGTCTTTCACTTAATTTCCTCCGCACACTGGTTTAATTTTGCACCGTACCATAATGTGGCAATCAAACTCTAATATCATGCTCTAATTAACACGAATAGCTTGCTACCATCAATGAGATGTGTTTATATTGATGGAAATAATGTTATCATGTTACAGCATAAAACCTATGTTTTTTTGTTTCGTTCATATTGTAACACTTGTGAATCAGTCGTGATGATGCTGTGGTTACCGTATCGCCTTCGTGCCGCATTGTGAGCACACGCCTTGATTTACCGTTTTTATTGTGCTGCATGTTTTCTCACTTCTTATATCTTCGGATTTCCTATAGGTACTCATTTTGCTTATATTAGATAATGGGCATCGCTGTGCGAATTTCATTAGTAATGAAACCTTGTTTGGTATATTTGATTTCTGTGGTCACAAGCGCAACTGTTGAGAGAGATCGTAGGTTCGATTCCCGGTTTTATAATTTTCAAATTCTTTGCAGGGGTTGAAAACATATACTAAAGATGATGACACAAAACTCAAATTCAAAATTATATTAATAATCAAAAACCTAGTCATACATAACCTAATAAACTAAACTATTCTTTTATGTGCCAGTATTGCGAAATCATATGCATTTAATACTGTATTTGGTTCTCGAACAATCGAACGGATAAACACAGTGCTTACATATCCGCCATTCGCAATTTCGCACATAGCAACACCGATCGGCAGGGTGGCTATGTAAAGACCGAGT